TCTGAACCTAGCTAATAATCCAGAAGATAGCCAACATATAAAATGAAGCCTAGCTAGTAAAAAGGAAGCCAAGTTAAACAATAGATAAACAAAAAATTATTGACAAATCCATCAATGGAAGGCAGACCAATTACCTAATCAACCATTGCGGCAAACAAAGTCACAACAACTTTTTATGAGCTAATCAAATACTCCTTCAAGCCAAGGCATATGTACCTGAAACAAAAGGAAGAATAGAAAATATAAGCAAGCAAGCTCCATTATCCAAAATCAACCCCTTAAAAATTGCCCATTGTTTGTTATGACACCAGATACGTAGGAATTAAGAATAACCTCTCAAGAGAATTCATAATCTCATAATAGAAGACAGAGAAGTTGGATACCAGCAAGATAATCTCATAAGAATAATCTCTTTTCTTTCCTGGTCAGTCTTAAACTCAGCAAGATACCAGTAGTAGTCACCTTTCCTGAATTAATGAGAAACAGAGAATATAAACTTACTTCCAAAGAAATGACACAGATAAACTTCTTTCCAAAGAAATGGCACCAGATAAGTAGGAATTAAGAATAACCTCTCAAGGGAATTCATATAATCTTATAATAGAAGACAGAGAAGTTGAGAGCAAGGCCAAGACGAATTGGGTGTGTTGAAGGGAGATCTGTATTTGCAATAGTAGAAACAGCCTTAAAAAAGAAAAAGAAAAAGAAAAAGAAAAAGACAAAAACAGCATCAAGAAGACACATCAAGTGAAGGTTAAAAACAAAAGTATGTCAATATGCAGCAATTCACTATGCATATCTCTAGTATAGGATGTCAAGACAATTGATCAACATGCCTCATAACCCTTCAGTGATTGTTCAACAACCTCTTTTCTTTCCTGGTCAGTCTTAAACTCAGCAAGATACTGGTAGTAGTCACCTTTCCTGAATTAATCAGAACACAGAGAAGATAAACTTACTTCTAATTTGGAAAGGAAAGAAAAATTTGAGAAAAATAAAAAGTCACATTCAAGGTAGGCCCCAAACCAAATTGTATTAGTATTAGAAGTATCAACTGATAAAACCAAATGACACTAACTAATGTACTTTAAAAAAACAAAAATAAAAGAAGCACACCAACTAATAAGAAAAAAAAAATCTAAATCAACAACCAACATAAACAATTATTACAAAACCAACTATAATTTGACAACAAATTGAATTCATCTTGGTAATGAAAAAAAGAAAAGAAGTAGAGAATAAGATTCTAAGCTAGTTTCCATATTAAAAAGTAACAAAGACTAACAATTAATGGTGTTCTACACAAAATTGGAAACCAATATGATTAGTGGTGTTCATATACTATCACCACAACCATATATGTATTAAGCATACTACACTGCAAGTAAGCATACTACACTGCAAGTAGACAAACCAATTTTCTAATCATTAAACCCATACCTACTATTTTCAATGTGTTTGATGGAGGTTAGTTTAGTATAAGATGTCAAGACAATATATACAATTATTAAAAAACCAACTTTATATGCAATCGTAGCTTTCCCTGAACTATCTGTTTCAATTTTTAATATATATCATTAGTTTTTCAACTTAATTGGTCTCTAAGTGAGTTACTCGAAGCTTAAACTTGAGTGAAAAAGATGCAGTTATGATGGCATGACTCTAAGAACATGTGAACATTGTATTTGCTTATGCAAGCCAAATAATGTTTTATGTAATAATTGCAGGCTCTAATAATTAGTAAATGTTTTCATAGTAGCAGAAGCAAAACCAAGGAAGATCTACAGAGTTAATTTTCATAGTTTGATGCTCAATACGGATCAAACAAATTTGATGCTAAGCAATTGCGAGTACCCACAAAAATCATAGATGGGATAATGAAAGTACCCTCACAAAAATTAGACACCTAAACTCCAAAACCAAAAATTACTATCAAACAACAAAACAACAAATCCAAATAACTCCTTCAGGATTCAGAATTTAAACAATAAATCAAAATTATAGGCAAGAGCAAAGAAAGTGAAAAGGCAAACAACGAAGAGTGAATAAATTTTACCGGCAAGAGCAGAGAAAGGGAAAAACACAACATAATCAACAACGATCGGGAAAAAATATTGTACAGCGAGTTCGAAGTCTTACCTAAATGGGAAACAAATCACATAATATAAATGAGAAACACAATCAAACTCAAATGAGAAACAAATCACATAAAAATTTAGACACCCAACGAAAACCCAAATAAAAATTTTGAGGCATTTTGGAGACCCATTTTACAAATCACATAGTGAATGCATATAAAGAGACACATAAAACAAACAAAAAAAATCGAAAAAGAAAAATCAAAAAAAAAAAAAAAAAATTTGAATTGAGAAACCCTAGATATGCCTAGAAAAGGAAGGAAAAATTTGAAGACAATACCGATCTCTTTCTCGTTGGTTGCGTCAATCGATCTACCTTGCATTTGATCAAACAGTGCACTCAAATCAAAACCAAGAAGGGGAGTGGGTAGAAGAAAGGGAGAGAGAGACTGAAATAGAACCAGAGAGAGATTTACAAAATGGCCTCTTTACTGTTCATCCAAAAGTATAAAGCAGGTTTAAACTGCTTCAAGCATAAACTTTATGCCATCACTTATTACTCCAAGATGACTAATTAATAACATAGAGAGTCTACTGAATTAATGTAGTTCCAAAACCAAATATTTATAGAAAAATCAAAACGGCCAATTGGCTTAAAACTGACTTTTGTTACTTTAGACCTCTTTACTGTTTTTTTTTAAACAAATTCTTTCTAGACCTCATTGAGCCAATCTCAGCATTGTTTAACTGGCAAAGCTGAAAGCATAATTTGTTTTATTTTTTTTTTTTATCAAAACTTACAATTCTCACTCTGAAAGTAAAATAAAAATGAGAGGAAAAAAAAAAAAAAAAAGAAAGAAAGAAAGGAAAGAATAGGCTCAGCTCCTGTAAAAAATAATAGACGGTTTTCATCCAATGAAACAAAAATATATTGAGTTAAGAGTCACAGGAGTAAAAGGAAGAAGAAGAAAAAAATTGACTCTAACCCATCAAATCAAAAATTTAATTTATTATAACCACATTTTTTTGTCACATCTATTTTAAAATGAATATACAATTGTGCCTACAGTGTCTAAGTTTTAAAATTAAAATTTTAATTGATTATAAGCACTGGTAGAGTTATAGGGTGTGTAAAAAGTAAGAGGCAAAGTTATTCTGTTGAATCAATATAATCTAAATTTCTCTTCCACCCCCAAAATCACCTATCAAGAAGAAAAATTCCAATAAAAAGAAACTTAATAAATACACTTCTAAAATTGTGGAAAAAAAAAAAGGCTCACTTGTTAAATGGGTCGTTGTGCCATTGCTCTCAATTTTTTGAAACATTCACTAATAGACCCACACAACACTTCCATTCATTGTCTAACTTGAATTTTTCAAGTCTAATCAAAACAAACTAAAACATCTTGTTTTTGAAAAACAATAAAATCAAACATAAAGGCATTCTAAACAATGCTAATTTTTAAAATTACAGTAAAATTATCACAATGATTATTATCAAAATAGTATGAAATTCAAAAATTAAAATAGAAGACCCAAATTATTAGCATAAAAAAATCAAATACTCGCTCTTCTTGGTTCTTGTTTCTCTACCGTCTCCGAACAAAAAACATAAACTGCATGTAGCTAATAATTCAAAAGATAGCCAACATATAAAATGAAGCCTAGCTAGTAAAAATTTAAGATACTTAATTTTTGTTATCCCAGATAGGCAACCCAAGAGGGGGGGTGAATTGGGTTATTAAAAATTTCACAATATTAAAGATAACACAATATTCAGAATTTTAATAAATAAAAAAAACAGAATAATAATTATCAATATAAAAGTAGAAGAGATAGAGAGAGAAAATCAAGCACTGCGATTTATAGTGGTTCGGCACGCTAGGCCTACGTCCACTCCCCAAGGAACCTCCTTGAGAATTTCTTTACTATCAATTGAATAAATACACTACCAATCTTGTGGATTTGGCACAAGACTTACTCTTATCTATTGAGCCTCACTCAACAATAAATGCCTTTACCTTACAAAATCTCTCACAAAAATAAGGAATAAGAATAAGTGGTAATTGAATAATTCTCTCACAAAGAGTAGATATGAAAGTGTATGAACAAAAGCTAGACTTAGATCTGAAAGTGAAAGAGAAGAATACAATTTGGAGCTCACAGAAAATTTTCTCTTCAAGTTCTTGATTTTTCTCCACATTCAACACTTCTATTTATACACAAAAATATACCCGTTGGACGCTCCTTGCTGACGTCATGACTTACATAACCACGCTCCTGACGTCATGGCTTACATAAGCACGCTCCTGATGTCATGGCTTACATAAGCACACTCTTGATGTCATCGCTTACATAAGCACACTCCTTGATTTTGAATAGTCAGCAAAAGATAAAAAATAAGACTGATTTTTTCTTTTTGTTTTTTCAAACATGGAGCCACCATTTTTGTAGACAATTTAATACAAAGTTCACAACTTTCAAACAAACAAATAATTTTCTCCATCTAGTTTATAATATATATATATATACACACACATATATATATAACTCCATCTATTTCTTCTTGTTTGATTATAATATGATATAATCAATGTAATGTAAAAAATTTAATAGCACACGTGATGTATTCTATTTATATTATATGCATTATATATATAATGTTCTAATAAAATATTTGCATACAGAAAAATCTCTTTAATAATATTTATGATGGATCTGAAAATATATGCCCTCTTTAAAATATTGTATATGTTGTAGAGATTTTAAACTAAATATATTCTACCACTCCATATTAATTTTGTCAACACAAGACAACCCATCAATATCAAATTTGTCAAAATAATATAATTAATCAATTTTTAATTTGGTCAAAAAGTGAATAGTGATCAGCCTCAATTTTCAAAAAGTGAATAGTAAAGTTTTCAAAAATATTTTTATTTAACTAATATTTAACAAATATATATATATATATATATATATTCTTTTAAAAAGATAATATTTTGGGTCAAATACATATGTATATTAAAAAATTCAAATTGTTACAAATAATATTTTAGACATCATCAAAATTAAATAATATGATTAACAATTTTCACATGTAAAATAAAGCCAAGTTAAACAATAGATAAACAAGAAATTATTGACAAATCTATCAATGGAAGGCAGATCAATTACCTAATCAACCATTGTAGCAAACAAAGCCATAACAACTTTTTATGAGCTAATCAAACACACCTTCAAGCCAAGGTTAAAAAATTATTTACTATTAATCACGGTTAAGGTGGCAAACCCATAGGACTTCTAAATGAGTTAATGGTCATAATAGAACACACAATAGATCCTATGTTTGAATCTTATAGTCTGTTAGATAATTCCAATACTCATACTTAAGGACAAATTTAAGGGAAGCATATATATATATATATATATCGTTTTTATAGTTGGTTAAGTCTGTTTGCTACTGCCTTACTTTTAGAAGCATTTTTTTGAAAGGAATTACCTTTCATAATCATGTGAGTAAACCATCAAAGAAACAAACAGAGAGATAAAGCAAATTTAAATACATTAATAACCATATGAAAACACAAATTTGTATCACATGCATGGAATTAGGTAGATGATTGAATCAAATTATCAACTCAGCAATGAAATGCACTGTTATCAACTAAGCAATGAATTAGTAGCGGAATTCACCAAATTATAGAAAGGAAATACAAATCGTGATCAGAAAATTTTAACTAATTCAGAAAAGACAAAAATCGAGAAAATCTCGATATCATAGCAATGGAGAGTTGAGTGAGTATACACATACTGACATGAATATTATTTCAAATAAAAGCTTAAATTTAAACCATGAACAGTGACCAACCTCAAGAAAAATTAGCGCAAAGTTTGAAGTTTTCGAATTGAAACAAAAAAAAAAGAAGCAAAAACAAAAATAGAAAGAGCAAAATAATGGGTTGTGCTCCAACCAGTAACAAAACTTTAAGATGACTCAAACATTAACCTTTGAGGACAATGTTAGAGACCCAATCAAAATTATTAGTAAATGACAATAATTCGAGACTCAATCAGAATATCAGAAATACAATCAATCAATACCGCAATGTAAACATCCCAATTCATACTTACAAATTTATTGAACTTTTCAACTCAACACCAAGCATTGATAAAGCAACCACAAATCTGTAAAATAGATCCTTCCAAAGAACCCTGAGATGAGTGAAAAAATTGTAAAGCTTCCTATCAATTAAACAATCAACTAACAAAAACAAAAACACAGATCTATATATACATACATACATGAACCCTGAGATGAGTGAAAAATACCTATCAATTAAACAAAAACATAGATCTATACATACATACATACATACATACATATATGAACCCTGGACAATCGAAGAAATCTGAGGTTTTGGAAGAAACCAGAGAAACCAAAGTTTTTTTTGCTACTGAGAAGCCAATTAAGAACTCAATTTCTTCCTCAATAGTCGATGAACATAGTCGACTGTGATGACTCTGCTCCAATTAGTCCAAAAAGCTACCATTTTAGATTCTCCAATTTGGTTGCTCATCGCGTCTCTGTTGAAAATATAGATTGAGCATAGTTGTGGGGTATTTTTGAAAATCCTGGGAGATGAGAGGAAAAAGGGAAAAGAAATGTAAAGTAAAAGAGAGATAGGAGAGGAATGGCTGGGAATCAAATTCTTGACAAATGATCTCAGCCATTCCATTAATAGTTAAAGTGATCTTAGCCCTTAAACAAAAATATAAGAGAGAGACATTTTGAAATTTATATGACACGTAGGACATTTTTTAAAAACAATTTTGTCATATTATATAGATGGTAACTTTTTTATTTTTTAAATATATTTTAATATAATTTTACATAATTTCATTTAATAGATGCGCAGCCAAAAAGATTGATGTACCTGAGTACTACTAATTCACGGTATTGGCAAGTGATCATTTCATAGTTGACTCTTGAACAGAACTAGCAGACAAGACGTCATTTTCTTTTTCTTTTTTTTCAACTAACATTACATTAAATGGCCTACCTATGGGAAATGCTGGAGACCCCCAGCTCCAGGGCACCCCAGCACCCCCACCTCCACGTGGGGGGCTGCTTGTGGCTGAAAATCAAAAAAAAAAAAAAAAAAATAATTTTTTGGACCAATCAGAAGGGACCCCCAGTACCCCACTGGGGGTCTCATGCATTTTCCGCCTACCTATATAGCTAGGGTAAACCTTTATACGCTAGTTTAGTTGACAAGATTTTCAGAAAAAATATATATATATTTTAAATATTTTCTAACATTTGGTGTAGTGAGAATAAAAATGAATCAAAAAATAAATTTAATTAATCCAATATATTTTTTATTTAAAAAATTTATCAATGTTTATTACTATCTCTACCAATCTATCACAATTATTATCAATCCCTACCACTATTACTACAATCACCACCACCATTGCTGTTATAGTTAGGCCTCGTTTGGCAAGAGGCTATTTTAGTCAATTAGTCAAAAAGTTACTAAATTAGTCAAAAAGCCAACAACTCATACCAAAAAGTCAAAGATTCTCTTTTCTCTCTACTTTTTGCACATATAATTTTAACACTTGTTATTTATATCTTTATTTATTTAAAGTGTTAATATTCACGTTTCTAAATATTTATGTATATATATATATATATTTATATAGTACTATTTGAGATGACTTCAATCTGATAGAGATGGGTCAATAAATATTGAGGAGCCATTTGGGAATATGCTAAAAAAATTAAAAGTAAGTTTTTAACTTATTTTATGTTACATCACCTTCAACATAATAAAGTTAAAAAATTTTAAAAAATCAAAAAATTAATTTTTAACCATTTTTTTAAAACAACCCTGAGTTGGGTTGAATTTAGGTTGAGCCGACACTATATAGAAAGTATATGTGTCATTTCAAATTCGATTTGACTTAATATCATAAGAACATATGATTTTTATGATAAAAATTACAATTTTTATAAGTTATAAATGATGAAATTATGATGTATAACCCTAAATTTATGTGCAATTAAAATTATGCTTTTTATAGTAAAAATTGTACTTTTTGTTAGAAATAAAAGATTATATTTTTTGTGATGGAAAAAAATATACTTTTTGCACAAGGTGCAAATGGTGGTCTTTCTCAATTTTTTTATTTTTTATTTTTTTTCAGTTCAGAAAAAAAGGGGGTTCCCACTTTATTTTTTTGTTTTTTGAGTGATGGGCATGGACTGGGCCAATAGTTGGGCCTCTCATGCCATGCTATTCTTCCAACTTTAGTAGAATTCAACAATGTAGCCCATTGTCTGGCCCTCATTCCATCCTAGCACCCAGTCCAAATTGTAGGGTGCTCCATTCCCTTGTATAACAGGATTTGGGCGAGAGATGAGTTTGGCAACAACATTTCTTTTTCTGATTTTTTTATTTTATTTTAAATTATGTCAATTTTTTTACTTTCTTGATTCTTCAAGTCTAAAAAAATTTAAAAGTACAAAAAAATTAAAAAAATTACTAAATATGAAAAAAAAAGTGGACTTTTTAATTTTTTTATTTTTAATAAACCAAATAGATATAAAATAGTTTATGCATAAAGACATTCAAACGACCTACAAGGATTTAGACTAGGACATTGAACTAACAGACAAACAGAAAAGATCAAGGGAAAAAAAAAAATCCTTGAAAACCTAAAAAAATGAAGCAACAAACAAACTCCAACAACAAAAGATCAAACAACTCACCAAACATAAAGCAAGAGTCGAAACAAAAGCAAGATGCACAAAACAAGGAGTTGAGAATCTCTCTTTGAACTTTCTCCTTACCTTCCTACTTGTGACGGTCGAGATGCACTATGAGTTGATCCAATGATTCAAATTTGGACGGAAAAAGTAAATTTGAATTTATTTATTTTTATTTTAATTTCTAATATATTTTTTTGGGGGTAAAGGTTAAGGCTCCGTTTTGTTTTTTTTTTTGGGTTTGACGTAAAATATTTTAGTTTCGAATATATTTTTCACGTAAATTGATTTTGCACAATTAATTTTATTTTTTGGTATTTGGTTGACATTTGAAATAATTTTTTTTATTGTATTCTCTTGGATAAGAGCCAATAAAATGCCACCATTTCACATTTGAAAAGATTAGTATGCTGAAAGGGCTAATCTGAAAGTGAACTTAAAAATTGACTTACAAAATTATTAATAGTTATTCATTTTGGGAGGTATGACGAAAAACATTTTGATTAAAATATGTTGTACTTACTTTTTGTTTAGCCAATACGTAAAATATTTTTGAATAAACAAAACCTAATATTAAATATAATTCTATTAGGTTTTTGAATTTTTTGTTTTTAGTAATTTTTGAAATTTTTTTAGTCAAATTGCTTTAAATACACCTAACGTTGATGTATTTAAAAAATACACCTTTTTTTATATAAAATTTAAAAAGAATGCAATAAGTAAAAAATACAAAATCAATTGATTTTTTGTATTTTTTTTTTTGTTATCTTTAATTTTTTTTAAAGTATATCTAAAAAATAAAAAAGTTAATTAAGGCTTCGTTTGGCAAGTAACTTTTTTAGCCAAAAAAATTAAAAAGTCATTAAAAAAATAAAAAGTCAACAACTTATACCAAAAAGTCAAAGATTTTTTTTTTCTTTACTTTTTGCACATATTTTTTTGTAAAAAATCAAAAAATCTTTCCAAACAGTAATTATAAATTTAATATAATATTTATTTTTTAATTATTTTAATCTATTTTATTTTTAATGAGATAGTTTAATCCAATTCTCTTACCAAACACCCCCATAGAAAAGGAGAGAAAATGACATTTTGACCTTTTTTTTTTTTATTTTTTATTTTCCAAAGGCAAAGGTAAAAAAAGTAATTTAGGGTTGGTTTGGGATGTCCTAAAAAAGTGCACTTTTTGACTTATTGGTGGGTTTAGGTTGGGTTTGGGTTGAGTTTGATGTGATGTGTTAGAGAGCTGATATAATTTAAATAAGATGATGTGATTTAAATAAGATAATGACTTTTTAACTTTTTGACTTATTTAGTATAGGGCAAATTACATATACACCCCTCCAGGTTTGGTTAAATTACAGATACCCCCTGAGGTTTCAGAAATTACATCCCGCCCCCTGAGGTTTGTATTTTCATAACAATTTACCCCCTGAGGTTTATATTTCATAACAAATTACCCCCTAATTTCTTATGCATGTAATACTTATCTTATTAATTATTTTAATCTATTTTATCTTTTAATGAGATAGTTTAATCCAATCCTCTTACCAAACACCCCATGGAAAAGGAGAGAAAATGATATTTTGACCCTTTTTTTTTATTATTTTTTTTCCAAAGGCTAAGGTAAAAAAAGTAATTTAGGCAGAGGAGTCGCCTCCTGCGACTACGACTGTCAGCCAGTTTATGTACCCGTATTTTTTAGTCCAAATATTCGACGCGCATGAGAGAGAGAGAGAGAGAGAGAGAGAGAGCACACGACCTTTCAATCAACTACAGTTCAATCCTAGCGGACACACGACATTTTCTCTGTCTCCGGACACCATAAAAACCTCTCCACTTTCTCTCTCTCTACATTTTCAAAAAGCAGTAAAGCCGTCGTTTCCAAATCCACCACCAAACGACTATCTCTCTAAACAATCCTCGATCAGGTCAGTTCTAGGGTTCCAGTATTGCTCAGCAAATCTATATATGTGTTTATATATGTTTTGTGTGTGTTCATTTTAGTTGTAATTCGTCAGATCTGATTGCTTTGCGAGTTCGAATTTTGTTGTGGAGTGTTTTCAATTTTGTTACAGTCGTGATTTGTGTTGAATTGTGCTGTGTTGTGTTGGATTGGATTGATCTTTTCTAGTTTGGTGTTAAGGTAGGGTTTTGATTGGAGGTTGAAGTGGCGGGGATGGCGAATCGAGTGAAGGAGGATGAGAAAAACGAGAGAATTATACGGAATCTTCTCAAACTTGCCGACAATCGCAGATGTATTAACTGTAACAGCTTGGTATGATGCTATGCTAATTATTGCCTTATTCAATTTTGTTTGGTTGGCTTTGCTTGTTTAGTTGATGTTTGAATCCAAGTGTGTTCCTATATTTTAAGTTGTTTATATAAAAAGGTTAAATTTAATTGTTGTTAATTTAGTTTATGTTTGATAAGATGTTGTATTTTCTGGTGAATTAGAAAGGAAATTGTTTTCTTCTTACTTGTGAATTTTACTTGCTGAATTTTATTTACGTCTTAAAATGAAGGGATACATTGTGGACTTTTTAATTAAATTGAAATGAGGGGATATATTTTGGTTTTCTTTGAAATGAAGGAACACAATTAAATAGATCAAGTTGTTGAAGTTCTCCAATTCTTCTCCACCATTTCACCATGAATTTTAACTGTTTATATGCAACCTAAATTTGTGAAACTTCGTTCAATTTTTTGAGGGTACTTGGAAATTGTCAATTAACGGTGTGTGAAACAACATGTGCGGACACATCTGACACTCATTGCTGTGACTTGTCATGTCTAATTGAATAAGTTACATTTTTTGAAATGTCCATATAACCCACAAAAAGATAAAACTATTGCGGAAATTACTGTGAATTAGTGGAATAAGCTACATACAATAGTAAAGTCAACTAGTTCAACAATAATTTTTTCTTTTTTTGGCTCCTCTCCTCTTCATGAATATATATGGTGCACATATATACTAGACATGGCAGTTCTTAGGACGTTTCCATAGGACAATGTACCATTAAAGATTCTAATCGATACTAGTTTCTAAATTAGTTCATACTTAGATTAATAGATGCAATGAGAACTCTTAAACACCACGTGTACCGTATGAGTGTCTCTTGATAACATGGAAGATCTGAAAATTGCTGGTAACATTGCTATTATGTGATACACTATCTTTTCCATATTAAAAAAAAAAAAAAATGCATATTGCTATATCAATTGTATATTTTGATAACATATGATACGTGATACAATACATGCCATACAACCAATTTATATCATATAGTAAAATTTGATTATATTGACATTTAAACTTATTCTAGTAAATTCATTAGTTGATTTCAATGTCACTTTCTTTTACCTTTTTTGCATAATATGACTTTCTCTATGGTGCACAAAAGGTAAAAAGTTTCATGTTTGTCTTTAGAGTAAGGCAGTCTAATGAGTTATGACTCTTCTTTCTTTCTCGTATTTACTTTTTAATTTAGAGGTTGATCTTAAACACCACTATGTTAATAAAAACAATGAGAAACATGATGTGACACAACCTAAGTAGCATAGACACATTATTGGGACACCTATGACACGACGTGGACAAATCCCAAGGGTTTAGGCTATTCTTGGCGGACGTTTGAGATTTTTGGGCAAAACGTCCAAAATAATGGAGTTAATTTTTTAGTTCTGGACACAACCATGAGTTAGCAGACATTTGTCTAGGAGTGTCCAGGAGGTATCCTACACGTCTGAGATAGACATGAGACCTTTCTAGAAGTGTTTGTACTTCTTAAGACACAACGTTGATCCTAGCATCTTGACACAGTGACTTCTTATAAAAATGCCATGAGTTAGCAAGAACACAACTATACACTTAACACACACAAAAACATGTATATGTATGTATGAATGCATGCATCTAAATCTAATTATGAATGAAACCCTGATACTTATGTCTGTTATCTTCACTTTGTTAGGGTTGATTGGCATGACAACCCACTTACACAACCATTGCATTGTTCTTGATGCAGTTTTGTAAGACCAAATTCCAATTATATTTGGCAGTATGCCCAAGTCATGTCTATCATGGTGAAATAATGAGCTCCCTCGACTAGTCAAATGAATGTCATATATATGATCTTGTTATGGAGTATGGACATATGATTCTAATAGAAGCTTATGTGCTTTGGTTCTTATCATGTTCCTTTTCTCATACATTTTTATTTCATACCAAAAGAAAGTTGCATCTTAACTTCCAAGGCATATTAGACACATTTTTAGAAGTCTCTAAAAGGCATGGTAGACACATTTTTCTGAATATGAAGTATAGTTTAGTGGTCTTTTTGAAAAAAAAAATAGCATTCGTGCACTTCCATGAAGGGTAAATAAATCTTAGTAAAATGAGTATTTATGAGCTCATAACCTTCCTAATTAAGGCTTTGTTTGCAATTAAACTATCAATATGAGCATTGAACTCTGGAGAATCCTCTAATGATGAACTATAGTAGATGGAGCCTTCTTCTGGGTTACATGCATAAGAATATAAGTGAAAAGGAAATGTTTCTTCTTAAATGTTTGCAATTCTAAAGCATCTAAAGTTGTTGACAAAGTAACATTTTTTGCTCTTTTCATCAATAGTTTTGTGAGAACATTCTCTGTTATTGTTTCCTGTCAGTGTTTTTTGTTTTTTTTTTGTTCCTTCACTAGGTTTGGGGTTTTGGAAGATGCTTATGTAGTTTGCATGATTTTTTTTTTTTTTTTTTGAAGTCGTACGATTGATTCATGAAGGTTTTAGATCAACAAAAAATTCTTGTTCACTCCCCCTTTGAAGTTATTTACTTGTTTGGTAATCTATGTTTGTCACAGTATTTGTTGATTCAAAACAAAAGATTGAACTCTTCGAATGCCATAAAATTCAAAACTTGGGAAGTAACAAAATTAGCAACCAGAGCATTGGATTCTAGAGATCTTACTACTAGTACTGTTAAGAAGTTACTTGTGAAAATTAGGGAATGCCCTGTCCAATGAACTAGGATAAAAATATATAGAAAATGGAAATATGATGTTTCCAAAAGGCAAACAGGCAAAGGAACCATTTGTGAACTTTTTACTAAAAATTGCTTTCTCTAGTTCTTTCTATGGAATGCATTTTGTTCCATTATGCAAATATGGAAGTGATAATTCTTTTGTCATACTGGTTTTATGGATCTTAACTTGAAAAGACAATGTATGGTCTTTAGGTCTAACTTGTCTTTGCTGATACAGGGACCACAATATGTATGCACAAATTTCTGGACATTCGTGTGCACAACCTGTAGTGGAGTACAGTAAGTAGTATTCTATGCTTTTGCCATAAGCTTATGTAAAGAGGAGAGATGCAGGAAGTGGTGATAAGTTTTTGTATTATGTTTTAGACTGTGATTACTGCTCTGTAACTTACTGAATGAATTAATTATTTGGAATTATATCCAGTCGGGAGTTCACACACAGAGTAAAATCAGTGTCAATGGCTAAATTTACTACGCAGGAAGTTAGTGCTCTTCAAGGAGGGGGAAATGCGGTATGAATAGATTTTTGATAAAGATCTGTCTAATGTTATTGTCATCTTCATTGATACCAACAACCGTCCTGATTTATCATACTCAACCCATCTCTGTTTCATATCAACAGCATGCAAAGGAAATTTATTTAAAAGAATGGGACTCACAACGTCATTCTGTCCCTGATACGAGGTTATTGCTTGTTTGTGTTATACTATGTTATGTTTTTTCAATACATAATGCAGTTCTGATTTATACATTTGCTGCCAGTAATGCTGAGAGGCTTCGGGACTTCATTAAGCATGTTTATGTGGATAGAAGATATACTGGAGAGAGGAGCTTTGACAAACCTCCAAGGGTGAAGATGGTAAGATACACACAAGGCCTCTGCTGAAACTTATTTTTTTGATTTTTAATTTTTTATCCTTCTTCTCAAGGACTTGTTAACAGTGGAGGTGACTTTTGAATATTAATAGAAATGATTGTCACTAGTTTATGACTTAATTTAGGTGGTGATATGATTGTTTCAAAGCTCATTGTTCTGCCAGTCTGGTGGTTTTCATTTTCTCTAAAAGATGCATTTGCATATCATGCAGGGTGAAGCCGAGGACTCCTACGAAGGCAGGAGGATAGATACATATCAAGGTGGAAGAAGCCCACCATATGAGGACACATATGAACGTCGTTACAGCGATAGACCTAGTCCAGGTGGAAGAAGTGATGATAGAAATTACAGAAATAGTTACGGTGAAAGAAGTCCAGGATACGATCAAGAAAGTCGACGGTATGGTGATTTCAAGAGAAGTCCTGCCCGTGCTGAGGTAATCAATGACTGGCGACGGGAAGAGAGATTTGGAAATGGAAGGAGATCTGAAGATGGTAGAATTTCTGATGGAAGTTCTAAGATGGAAGGGAGGTCTCCTGACCACCAAAAGGATCTGAATATCTCCAGTCCTCCTATGGTCCGCCCTGTTAGAGATATTCTGGGAGAGAATGTATCTCCCCTTCGGGTTATTGAACCTCCAAAAGCTAATGGTGGCGGGGTTACTGATGGATCTCGCACACAGGTGAGGAGTGCTTTGTTAGGCCACATGCATGTTTATATATGTGGATTGTTCCCCTCGTAAGGCTTTTTATATGCTTTACCTGAATTATTTGCAGATTAGACTCCATCTATCTAATCTGGTTGCCTTGAATCCCACTGCATCAAGACAAATAATTGATTTTTTTTTTTTCTTTTTGTTTTAGCTTTACCCCGATGAAAATAAGTAACTTTTATTATTGATGTTTCTAATTGCAGAGAACTGCGTCTTCCAGTAGCTTGGCATCCTCTAATGGGAACCCAGCAGAACTTAAAAGGGAGAATTCAGGAATTTTGATCGATTTTGATGCTGTTCCTGAACCTCCTACTTCTGCAATCCCACAAACACAACAAACAGCAATGGGTCAGTCGGTTGTGCAGCCAGCAACTTCATCCAACAGTGACAACTGGGCATGTTTCGATTCGGCCCCTGAGGTGAAAATATCTCAAGCTCCTGCAAATGCAAATTCGCTGGAATCTGTACTTTCACAGATGACAGTTCCAGCATCTGTACCAGTTCAAACCGCAGGATTTCCTGGTGCCAACATGTCAGCGCTACCATCTGCTCATAATTCACTAGGTGCACCTGCAGGACATATGTCTATTTCACTCTTTGGTGATAATGCTCCAGCAGCTGTGCTGGTAGACAACTTGACAAATTTTCCCCCTGTTAATACTCCAGTGGCAGCACCTGTTGGGCACGTATCCATGTTCCCCCTTGGGGTTGGTGCTCCAGTAGCTGCAACAGCAAACAAGTCGACAACATTTTCATCGGGATTGCCATCAAACGGTGCAAATTCTTTTGTCAAAGTTGCTGATGGAGGGCAGTGGCCCAACATGCTTCCTCATCAACCTTCTTTATTTCCTGCTACTGGTAGTCAGCCTACTGCTCAGCCGTTCACTCCACCAGTTAGTGGATCTTCAAACAATCAGGTGTGCTTCATGGCTTATCTTCTTTCATCCAGTTATACAACTCCGCTATGGTTATTGCAGTAGTTTTAAATTTTACCTAATACACTGCTATTTTTGCAGCCATGGAATTTGTCTATTGCCTCAAATCCGCAAGGTCCTTCGAGTATACCATCTGCACAAACATCTCCGGCTTTGTCAAAACCTGCCCCAGATGTCACTTCACAATCCTCTTCCATGGAAGTTAAACCAAGTGGGAGAACAGAACTTCCACAGGTGATGATGGAGTTACATATTTGCTTCATCCTCTTACTTTTTGTGTTCCTTTTGGTTTTGTTCATGGTTTTCCACATCTTACAATTTATTGTTCTTTGTTGATAAGTATCTTATGATGAATTATATTTTATATGCAGAATCTATTCGCTGCAACTTATCCATCTTCTGTACCAGTTCCGGGCTGGCAAACTGGTCCACCCCAGGGATATGGATTCAATATGCAATATAACAATACTGCAATGGTATCTAGCACACCCCAACATAATTATGTCGATTACTTGCTGCTGTCTCTTATTTTTAATTATGTCATCAAATTACTAACTTGTTATTGTGCTCTATTTTTATAGCCCATGTCAACTTTTCCGCATTCATCAAAATCAACTAATCCATTTGATCTCAACAATGAATTATCTCCAGTTCAAGCTCCAATGGTAATGCCTAGCCACTTGATTCAAACTGATTTTCTCCCCAACCGCTTCAGACTCTTTAGTGTCATCTTGAAGTGTTGACAAAACATATATACTGTACATATTTTTTAAAAAAAAGAAGGAAATCTGCAATGTTTGCTTGCATGGTTTTGTGTGCATGCTGGTCACATTTATGGTCATTTCAGAAAAGTAGAATAGAAAAGTTGACAGGAAATGATTTATTGACAGGAAGATTGATTTTTGAGTGTGATTGATTGAATAGGGCTCTGATTAAACTTTATCTATGGTTGAAGTACCTGCAGATAAGATATCTGATTAGATTGTAATTCAACCTTCCCTTTTTGGTTTGCTTAATCAGTTACATAATAGTATGTCATTGTCAGTTAAATTTGAATCTTGCGCATTGATTGATTTCTATTTTAAAGAATTTTAGCAGTCACATCGCAAAATTTATTTTTTCAGAAGGATTTAATCTGATGTATTCTGTGTTTCCTGTTATGTAGTTTCCTTCCATGGCATCCTTGCATGGTGCTCTACCAAATGTGGCAGCTCCAGCAGGCTTATTGAGCACTTCCAGCCTCGGTACCCCTTTGACATCATGGATGCCGTCTCAGTCATCTTATCCATCAGCAATGCCTGCCCAGGCACCATCTTTTACATACGCAGTTCCTCCAAGTAATATAACATCTAATTTTTTTTTTGTACCACCCTGGGATTCTGTTTGTTCTTTACAGGTGGTGATGTTTGTAATGATGTCTCAGGTGCATACATGGGGCAACAGATGCCTAGTAACTTGCCACCCAGGTAACTTCTGTTCTGTTTGTATCTTTTTCAATTGTAATTTTTCTTCCTCTTCAAGGCTAGTCTGCTAACTTTAACACAAGTTCAAATATTCCCAAAATAATAAAAAGATTTTAGCATTTGTTTGCTTTTGATGTGAGTCTGTTTAAGCTGGTTTTGGATTTTAGAAAAAATCGACATGTCCATACAGCTGTATGTGTTTTTTCCCCAGTTAAACAAAGATGTTCTGATGTGAACTTTTAGTTGCGAATTTCCAATTTGAATGACTTATATTTGTTATTCGGGAACCCTCCAAATGAAGTTAATTGTGTCCAGTTCATAAAGTGATGTTCCACAGGCGGGGTCGGTCTGAGCTGAGATTTTAAATTTGTTTATTTTTGAGCTAGGCTCGGGATGAGGGCCTTTAGCCTAGCCTAGCCCGCCTCAGGTTACCCATTTAAAAATATTAGTTCTATTATTTTTTAATTATTTACATAATAAAGTAAAAAGTAATAAAAGATAAGAAAAGTGTAAACATATGTGTGATTTTGAGTACTTTGGCATGCATTGGTTGTAATTTGAAGAACCTATTTGTCTTTGGTAACCTCTGCAGGCAGCAAGGAGTGATGGGGCTTAGTAATGAGGGAGCTACTTTCGGATCTTCAATTCTGAACCAGCAGCATCAGCAACTGGGTGGAATATATTCAGCACCTGCTCCCCAAAACACTTTCTCCACCGTTGGAGGCAACCCATTTGGTTAAATTGAGACAACAATGGCCTTCTGACCCCATTCTACGGCCTCCTTCTCAAGTCACTGGGTGGAAATTTCAAGTTTTGTTCATGTTGTATATTAAGTCGAATGATCCAGCCAACGGTGAAGATTTATTGCGTGGGGTCTTGGGTTAAGGTTCGAATTCTATGCATGGGCCATGTAACATTATTGCAATTGCTGGAAGAAAAGAAGATTGAGAGAGATGCAGATAAAGAAATAGCGGTATATGATTATGATTTGTGTAGGGGATTGAGCAGCTCATGGAGTTTGTGTGCAGGTATGTTTTGTCAATTATTTGATTAAGTGTTTCATTGGGTGATGATGTTTGTGTTTGTGACTGCTGCTCCCCAAAAATTTTTATCAAAATTTTAAGCTATTTTTTATTCACTTTTTTGTATGATTATAAAATTTTCTTCACAATTGAGTGAGGTCATATTTTGTCAGTAATTTTATAAAATTGAATGTTTGTAAAGCATATATTGTGTTTTGCTAATTATTTTTGCTATTGATGTTGATATGGTTGGTGGCATATGCCACGTCCTCCTATCTTTTAAAGCTTTCTTTTAAAAACTTGAAATAAAAGCAGTTGATTCGGGTAAGAAAATGCTATACAAATTAACAAATTTTATAAATTTTATTTATTAAAAAACTTGACACGTAAGGATGAAGTTTTAGAATAAAAAACAGATTGAGGTCTGAATGGGTTTCCAAAAGGGAGACAAAAAATGAAAAAGAAATAAAGAAATACTATTGATGAATTTAAACCAAGAACATATAGAGGGAGATTTATGGTTGCGTAAATGTTTCCTCAAGTAGAGAGTATTTACAAATAATAAAAATGCCTTTCTAATCATGTCAATGTGCAGGGCTGTATAGAACAAGAAAATCTATTACATCATAGTCGCATAGAGCACCCTCTTTTAAGGTTTTCTAAGCTTCCCTCAAGATGAACTGGAGAATATATATATGCACATCACAAGAATGGAGGCAACCTTTGGAAAATAATTCATCAGGACACCCTTACACTGATTCAGCTACTGACTGTCTGCTTTTCCACACTATTGGTGCTACCAGCATCCATACTGCACCCAAAAAAAAAAAAAACAACAAAAGATCATTTTCTTCAGTTTGCTAATTTTTTGAAGGAGAAATTACAAGAAAAAGAAAGAAAGAAAGAAAGAAAAAAAAACCTTAAGCCCTTGTAATAAATCAAAAACTTTTTAATTGTTTCAATATAAACTCTTTGAACTTTTAAAATTGTGTTAATTCTAACCATTTGTTCAACTAACAGAACATAGGGAATTTAAATAATTTAATCACTTTTTTTTTGGTAGCGTTGGATGGCAACAGTGGCTAGGGGTGATATTGAGTTGGGGAAGGGGAAGAGTAACGGTGGACGGGGAAAATAAATGGAGTGATAGTAGTGGATTGAGAAAGAGAAGAGGTGATGATGGATGACTAATGAATACAAAATGGATAGTTAAAATTGATACCATTGTAAAAATTCTAAGTTTAAATTGAAACAATTAAAAAGGTCAAATTTTTGAGTTTTTTTTTTTTGAATTGTAATATTTCCTTTTTTAATCATAGTGGCATCCAAAACTCTAGTTTTTATGATAGTGAAATTTTTACTTAAAAATGAGTATAATAGCATACAACGTTCAAGAATGCCATGAAGTTTGCATCTCCGACGTAAACTTAGGGTTTTTGTTGAGTTAAAAAAGGTCGGTGCACTAAGCTATCATTTATGGCAGGGTCTGGGAGAGGTAGTACGTTTTGTTATGTACTTACTGTAAAGGCAAACCGCAAGCCATTCGTTTACTATTCTAACCCAAGTGCTGGTCCAACCGACATCAATTGTCCACCTGCAAAGAATTCAATAATGTTCTTAGTAAAGGGTGGGCAAAAATGACAGTTCTAACCGTCATTTGGAAAAAAAAAAAAAAAAAAACTGAATGTAAATGGACGGGGTAATTTAGATGGCTGCATAGGGCTAATTTGGGAATGAAAAAAAGGATTAATATAGCTTTAAAACATATTCTAATGTGCTTTATCTAAAAGTACTACTATTAGCATCACATCAATTATTTTAGATCCACTATTTTTTAGCCTTTTTTTTTTATTATTTATTTATTACAATAATAACCTTAAATGAAATTACTATAAAGGATATCAAAAATTTTGAGACACCCCATCTTATAATTAAACTTACACACCCACTACATCATGAGTTAGGATTTATGAGACCATCCACCTCCATCACTACCCATCTATCTTTCCCAATTCCCATCTTCAAAACCTACCTACCCTCAAAACTTTGAAAACCTTTTCAGCAGAAATATTCCTACAGTAATGGTGGCAGCCATTTGATCACATACATTTCTCCGGCAATGACAATGAGTGAAAGTTTTTTCAACAAGCACAACTCTATGAGACAAAAGGAGTACAACAATAAAAATTTAGAAGAGGTTCATAACTATGATGTTGTTCTTAACTTAGAAGAGATTGGCCTTGTGAGGGTAAGTTTTTTGAAAAAGATGGCAAAAATAATAAAAACTGTTCGTCATTTTTTGAGACTAAACTCCCGAACATATGATCGAAATTCGGCAACACAGGTCTGAACATTATTTATTTGTTCAGGAACAGGTAACCAAACATTTTTTATTTGTTCGGGAACAGATAACCGAAGCAGCAACAGAAATAGGCAAACAAAGGAGGTCAGACCACTCTTGGGTGGTCAACTGGTCAGTTGACGGGGTGAAATCCTGCCTAGTTTTGTTCACACAGAGAGCATACAAGTACAGTGAAATCATGGATAAATCACAGAAAACTAACCAAAGAAGCATGAAAGTGGATTGTGTTGTGTATGTGAAAAGAGGTGATAGAAAGAAAAGAAAAAAAAAAAAAATCAAACAAATTGACAAATCTTGTAATAAAGTAGAGAAAAAATTTCTTAATCACCACAAATTTTTTTCACTAGTTTTGGGAGGTTCCACCACCGTGAGTTTTGTTAAGGTTTGGGAGAGGCTTTTTGGGGTGTGGAGGTGTGTATTTGAATGAGTGAAATATTTTTATAAGAAAAATTTTGATATTATTTGAGGGGAGGAGAAAAGAAATTTTAAGAATTTTAAAATTTATTAGCGGTCCAAATAAATGGAGTTCTAAAATAATTGATGGGTGTTAATCAACTTATCTAATAGAATAGATAATAAATATATACACATGCACATAAAAATGAGTGCAGCAACCTACCTTTTCATGGTATGATGAGTATTCCAACCAATCAATAGCATAGCAAAATACATGGCTCCTGTGGCGAAAACGAAATGGAAGAAGCCAAACCCGTATGGAACATCATCTTCAGACTCTCTTTCCTTCTTCTTAAACTGCACCTGTCGATGTTAGATGTGCATTTTTGTCAAAGCATTTTACTAATTGAAAGAGTTTGAGAGACAAACCTGAAAACATTGGGAATCAATGCCTGTTGAAAATGTTGCAATAACAATTGCAAGTACTCCAACAACCAAGCTCTGTCAAGATATGAGATTCATATAGTTATTTAGGGGAAAGATTCAAATACTAGGTACAATAGGAGTGACAACTCAGCTTTATGATATATATGTGAACAAAATGGTAATATAAGTATTGAGGTCCAAATTCCACTCTCTCTGAGGCCAGCCACCGGGGTGACATTACATATGATTGGTAGGATGAACCTTCCAAGTCTGAGTGAACCGTACTCAGTGTTAAGAGTATAAGTTCGAATCCCTGCCTATGTGCGAGTCCATGACTTACCGCTATATAATTGAATGATCCTGCTATGTAACAACAACATAAGGGTGCCTCTAGGGTCTCGACTCCTTAGAGGGTCTAAACCCAGAGGTTACCTCTTTGTGATTAGGCCTTTTAAAATGGCAATATAACAACAGCAAAAAAAAAAAAAAAAATCATGAGTTGAGCCTCCAAGTTATTTGAACTCGTAAATAGCTATGAAAAAGTCAAAGATTCTTCAGAAATCCAAATATTACTATGATGGTTAACCAGTCTCCTTTGGCTGCTGCTCCCACTTTCTTGATGCACTTTTCTTCTGGTGGTTCGCTGCAAACACAAAGGTGCAACAGTAAGTTTGTAAATTCAAAGATTAGGTGAAATTAAGGATAATTTGGTAAAGAATTTAGTTTACATTCAAAAAATCAAATAAGAAATTTGTGACTCAGGAGAAAAAACAAAGAAGAAAAAGAAAAGAAAATGAAACCATGTGTCAGGTTTTCAGTTTAAAGTGACTGCTTCCTTGTGAGCAAGTAGATTTATGACTGCATGGACAAGGTTACTGAGGACAAGAAAACACACATGTTGAAATTCCTCTACATACTTGCCAAGGGAGGAAAACAAACATTTTTCTACTGACAAATTCTCACAATTTTACACTTGGTTTTGCATATGATGATCAATACCAATTTTTGAGAAATAATGTGGAAGAGAACCAGAGAGCAAAAATAAGAATTAGAGGGAGGAAGAGAGAAGAGGAAGAGGAAGAGGAAGAGGTCAACAAAAATTAGGGTTCCAATAATCTCAATCATGCAAAAAAGTAAGTTTCTCATACACCCTCTGTATATATATAAATTATATTCTACTCTCTACTAAGGGCATATTAAAAAATAAAATAAAAACTAGAAATAATCCAAATACGGAAACAAAAAGCCTAATAAAACTAAAATTAATGCCTACTGCGCCTAATATACATCTTCAATCCTCCTCTTCATTGATCCCCATTGGAACAACATCATGGTAATATTGCGTGATTAGAAATGGGCCATCGTTGTGTTTGAAGTTCTTAATATTTTTTTATTTTCTGGGGTGAGGAGTGTTTAGGCTTGTTCCAGCTTACATGCACAATATGAGGTTTATGAATGATGCATTCTAGGCAGAGCAGTAAATTTTTGAATATTATAATAGCATTAGAGTATTAGAAACCAAGCCTTCTTATGGCACTCCAGCAGAGGAACACCACATAAAGCCCCATAAGCCCTGGTGTCAAGAAGCCAGCATTCACCTGTTTCACACACAAATTATGTGTGTATATATATAATTTATTTTGAAACAGGAATGAACTGAAGCAGATACTGAAGATTGAAACTTACTTTTGGGTGGAGAGAGACACTGGTCATGAGTTGGAGGAGTACTAGTGTCCAGGTGATGAAGAAAATGTTAAGAAGGCACGATGAGTCTGGTGCATACCAAATGTACATCGAAATGATCCCCATAATGCATAAAACATATGCAGTTGTTGCAAGTAACATCACTTGGATATGGCTGCAATGCAAAAAGCACTCTAATTAGTCACAATTCCGAGGTCATTATAAAACACAATTGGCTATGCCATGTTTAAATTTGAAGTTGTGTTTTCAACACCCGACTTCACTGAATTGTTGTTCCACAGATTCACAGTAGTTCGTGAAGTCATGTTTTTATCCCACAAATTTAATTCTTCATTCTTATTAGAATCGGGTTTTGAAAACACGACTTCCAATTTAAAATTGTGTTTTGAAAACTATACTTCGCAAACTATCTGAGCATGTGGGAAATAAGTTGAAACAACTTGGATTAGGGAGTTTGTTTTCAAAACACTTGGGTTTGGTAAAAAACTCTTTGTAGTTGGATTGAATGAGGAGAACACTTACCATTTGTCAGAATTTTTGTCAGAATGACAACAATCATTTATCCATGTAATGAAACTAATGATGCTGATTAGCTGAATTAGTAAAAAGACCCTGCAAAGGATTATTAAAAGATCATAAGAAAGAGGCTTTAAGCAACATGAGAAACTAAACTGATGGACATATCTTGTTCTTCAACTTCCACAACAACCAATTCTGAAAACATTATGCATTTGAAGACAAATATAGAGGAGGAATCAGTGATACCCGGCACCAAAATGCGCAAGATCCCCTGTCAAAAAGCAATGTATGAAAAGCATGATCAATATTTAAAACTATAAAAACTTGCAGATCAAAGAGAAGGAACAATTATCACAAGGTAGCTTAAGGACTAAATTACACTAACCATAAAGGTGAATAACAACTGAAGGAACAAAAAAGGGCAGCACCGTCAGTCCAATCATCAAAAGAATCTTGGCAGACCACCATCCAGAATGCCACAATTCTCTTGGTGTGCACAACTTTGAGGTACCAACTGTAGAAAGAAACATTACAAAATAGAATATCTATTTTGTTATTAAGGTTCATGCCAATCTACCCACAAAGGAATGGAAGGTTTTCAGAATTGAAATTGAAGATTGAATTTGTTATTTTTTATTTTTAATGATATTTTTTGTCCAATGGTACTAGGCTTCACAATAGACCCAGATGAAGGTGGAGTGAACATTCCACAAGATTTGAGTTGCACCATCCCATTTATTTCCAATTGTAGTAGTTCTCACTTCTTCTCAATCCTTAATGTGCTTAATATATCCAAATTCTAATAAGTGCTTCAAATTCTAAGAAAGACACACACAGACGAACCAAAATTTGCATACCACATTCACATTATCAGTGCATAAAGAAAAAGTAAAAGAAACACACACACATACACAGGAACAAAAATTTGCATCCCACATTCACATTTTTGGTGCATAAATAATCTTTTCTTTTTCTTTATATTTTGTTCGTAAACCTTGATATTTTCAGAAATTTCCACACTGTTCTTTTCATTCATAGAAATCCTTTCTTCTCCTGAAGGTTGAAATGGTTTCTTACCTCATTTTTTGTGTTTCTCTTTTGGTCCAAAAATGTGGGGGTCCAAAACAGGAGAAAACTTTCTGAGAAAATGTTTCTTACACCTTGGGGATTTAATAATTTCTGTTAACTACTGAGAAACTCATACATATTATTAGCAAGAACTAAACTGCTAAATTGAAAGGATACAAAACATCCCAAGCTCACTCGCAGAACTCCTTCTGTACCCAAACACTCCTTGCCACCTCCACATCCTTTTAGTCCTGTAACCAAATCAAATTATGTTAGCATCCAACATGCCACACATGAAGGGAAATGCATGTAAGAAACATGACTGAAGTGTGTTGTGATCGTAAGAAATCTCATAGGAAGTAAAAGTAAATCTCTCAAAATGTTCAGACTTGTGGACATCAATGGTAAACTTAATAGTATATAATGGTGGCTCTGATGTCCTTCCAATTTTGTTTTCATGGAACTAACTAACTACTATCTCTCTCTTTTAAAGCAAGAAATCATATGAATATGAATTCAAGAAAATAAATAAATCTTACTTTCCATTTCTTTCAAGGCGCTATGGCCATAATCTCGAACTGCCCATGCAAGAAAAGTTGCAACGAGAAACATTAGGCCATAAACATATCTGGCCATCCAAGGGTTGGAGCCATTATAGAATTGACTGCACCAAGAGCCCTTTGTGAGCTTGGCATACCGGTCAATAGTGCTGTTAGTCGTGCCCTCCTCCATTTCTTCTTCAGTGCCGGCAATTATTTTCCACCACATACAGTATCAATGGAGAAGCAAAGAAATAATGGATTTGGTTCCACTAGTTCCTCTTCAACTGCAATTCAAATCAATAATGATGTTTAGTACTTAGTAGGACATCAGTGTAGTGTTTTTCCAAGTGGGGCAAAGTTCATGAAAAAAACAATGAGTGACCAGTTTCAATTGTCATGACAGTAGACTCTGAAGGGTTGAAACTGAAATAGGGAAGGGTTTTTACACTTAATAAATTTGTACAAACTTCTCTTACAACTGATGTGATATGCAATAGTAAAACTTTAGAATTTGAAATGGGACCCAATAAAATAACATAATTGGAGCAAAGTTTGTTTTATACATAAGAAGAGTTTGTTTTATACAACTCAGAGTATCGGCCTCCAAACATAACATCTTACTCTTAATTCTAGGGGTGTACACAGTCCAGATTGGTCCAGTTCTGAGAAAATCTAAGAACCGAACTGATCCTAACGGTTTTGTAATTTTGAGAACCAGACTAGACCATTACACTTGTAAAACCGGACCAGATCCAAACCGAAATAACGGTTCAGTTTCGGTTTGGTTTACGGTTCCAAAAATTTCTATTCACAAGAATAAATTATTAATATTAGTAAAATAATTACTCAAACTAATTACATTTAACTCATGATAAAAATTAATAATATTAAGGCATTACTCAACATTACATATCTATATCATCCTAATATCATTAAAATTACAAAAAACTAATTAATAAAAATAAAACTTGATATTATATATATTTATATATATCTTTTAAAATTCGGTTCGGTTCGGTTCGGTTCGGTTCGAACCGTGGTTTTTTCATAAAATCCATTAACCGAACCGTTTTTATGGTTCTCATATTTCTTAAACCGAAACCAAACCGGTTCTTAATAGACCCGAACCAAATCGTACGATTTGGTCCGGTTTGGTCCGGATTACCGGTTTGAACAGATTTTTGAATAGTCCTACTTAATTCAGTACATTAGAGTGATGTAAGCATTTATGTTAGCATTATTGGACATCCCTTTCGATTGTACACATACCAGGGTACAAGAAAATCCTAGTTTTTCTACCAAATGCAAGTTGTTTGAAACAGAATTCTTAAATTTAAGCAGTTATAAACTAATTTATTGAACCTAGGATTAAAACAGAACTCCACAAAACAACTTCGGTTTGGGAAATAAGTTTTAAACTGCTTGGATTTGGCAATTTTGATTTTAAAAAACAACCAGCATTGGTAAAAATCTCAGAAAATCACATTCAGGTAAAGTTACAGGACTCAAAAAGTATACATTAACATGGATGTACACTGTTCGCTGGCCTTAGTTCACACTTTAGTTATGCTATAGGGTAGCAGGACAGGAATGATAGACTGACAGGTAATCAATAAACAAAGAACAGAAAAAAGAAAAGAAAGGACAGCTAAAGAAATTGATCTTTCATAATTGCACATGTATTAGATTGATCTTTAATGCTGATGCAGATGTCTGATTATGTAATGGTTACTGTAAAAATAATTGATGTATATTATTGATTGATTGTTTACAAGATTGTTGTTTATTGATTTGTATGTTACAAGCTATTATATAGGAGAGGTGTGAGGTAAGTGAGTGGTGGTAGTGGATGGTAGTGGAGGTGGTGGGTGGTAGTGGAGATGGTAAGTGTGTTAGGTTTAGTGGGGTGGATGTAGTGGGTTAGGTTAGTGGGTTAGGTTTAGTGTACATTAACAGCCCCCCTCAAACTCAAGGAGGATAGGAACTAACCAACTTGAGTTTGAAGAGAGTAACAAAACAGAAAAGTAAACTGATAAATAAAAAACAAAACAGGATAGGAGACACGGTATGGTCGTGTCGGACCGTTGTAGCAGACAGTTTACGGGGTCATGTCGGACCGTTGTTAAAAACAGGAAGTTCCTCTAATCAAGTCTTGCCTCAAGGGAGGTTGGTGTAGTTTTCCCCTTTTTTTTTTTTTTTTTTTTTTTTTTTTTTTTATAATTGCCAATCGCCACCTGTTATTTGAAAAGAAAAATATATATCTATTTTTGATATTTTTTAAATATAGAAATTATTTTTTTAGAGCAAAATGATAAATTATTTTTTTGAATTGAATTTTAAAAAGAGTTTGGTTATGATTTTTAAATAGAATTTTCAATAGAGTTTTGAATTGTGTGTTTGATTATGAGTTATAAGTTTTAAAAACTCTTCTCAAAACTCATAACCACACAACTTTTCTCATTTCATATGTTACATCAAAAATTTAAAACTTAATTCAAAATTTATAACCAAACAAATTTTCTCCTTTCAAAACTCAATTGAAAATTCAAAACTTAAAATATGACTCTACACTCAAATCATGATTCTAAAATGGGTTGGGCTTACGGACTAGAGGGTACTGTTGGGCCCGTGGGGGCCCACCACGGGTCCCGTTTCAATAATCAAAACTATTCAATGTGTAGAACTTGTAGAATACTATGTGCCTGTAAAAAATCACGTTAATCGGATATCGATAGCTATCTCATCGGATCAAATTTCTGTCGTCGTTTATTTTTTTCATCGTCCATTTTTTTTTTATACAAAACTAATTTGATCATGTAACTATTGATATCCGATCAACGTGATTTTTTTACGAACATATAGTACTCGACAAGTTCTACACATTGAACGGTTTAAATTATCAAAACGGATCCCTGGCGGGTCCCCACGAGCCCAACAATATCCTTCAGCCCGAACGGACTGGAGGGAAGCTAGCCCCTTCTAAAAATAATTTAAAAAGACAAAATAAAATATATTTTTTAAAATTTTTTCTTTTAAAATAGAGTTTTGAATTGAGGTGTGTGTTTGATTATGAGTTTTGAAATTAATTTTTAAATTGAGTTTTGAATAATTTTAAATTGTGTGTTTGATTATGAGTTATAAGTTTTAAAAACTCTTCTCAAAACTCATAACCACACAACTTTTCTCATTTCATATGTTACATCAAAAATTTAAAACTTAATTCAAAATTTATAACCAAACAAATTTTCTCCTTTCAAAACTCAATTGAAAATTCAAAACTTAAAATATGACTCTACACTCAAATCATGATTCTAAAATGGGTTGGGCTTACGGACTAGAGGGTACTGTTGGGCCCGTGGGGGCCCACCACGGGTCCCGTTTCAATAATCAAAACTATTCAATGTGTAGAACTTGTAGAATACTATGTGCCTGTAAAAAATCACGTTAATCGGATATCGATAGCTATCTCATCGGATCAAATTTCTGTCGTCGTTTATTTTTTTCATCGTCCATTTTTTTTTTTTATACAAAACTAATTTGATCATGTAACTATTGATATCCGATCAACGTGATTTTTTTACGAACATATAGTACTCGACAAGTTCTACACATTGAACGGTTTAAATTATCAAAACGGATCCCTGGCGGGTCCCCACGAGCCCAACAATATCCTTGACTATTTCAATTGTTTAATGGTAACAAAAATGATTGTTCAATCAACAAACATAGTAAAAAAATAAAAAAACAAAATGCAACTAACTTTTGAAAAAAAAATTTAAAAAAAACTTATACCAAAATACAATGTGAGTGTTCACAATTTACAATTAATTTTTTTTTTTTTTTTTTTTTTTTTAAAAAAAAAAAAAACTAGTTCTATATTAATTGTAAATTGTGAACACTCACATTGTATTTTGGTATAAGTTTTATTTTTTTGAAAGTTAATTATGTTTGTTGTTTTTGTTAATATTTGTTAGTTGAACAATCATTTTTGTTACCATTGAACAATTGAAATAGTCAATTTTCACTTTTTCAATTTTGTTTTATGTTTTCATGTTGTAGTATAAATGTTTACATTTGAATGAGTTATTTTTTTAAGGCTAATTGTATGTTAATTATAAATCGTGAACATTCACATTGTATTTTGGTATGAATTTTATTTTTTTAAATGTTAGTTGTATGTTTGTTGTTTATTGTGAATATTTATATTGTATTTTAGTATGTGTTTTGTTTTTTCAAAAGTTAGTTGTATATTTGTTGTTTATTGTGAACATTCACATTGTATGTTGATTTTCATTCATATTTTTTGTTGCGTTATTTTTAAAATTTTCAAATTATAAAAGGTTCAAAATTCATAATTTGATATTTTATCTACGGAATGTATGAGAGATTTTCTCCTTAGAATAAGGGAAAGATTTTCTCTATAAAATAACGAATTTTTTTTATATTTAGAATGAGGAAGAAATTTTCTCCATGAAATGAGGGTATATTGTTATGTATTAGTTTCAAAATAAAAACATGTGCAAAAAATTAAAAAGGATGATTTGGTCATATTATATTAAATAAGAATTAATGAAATACTCAAAAAAAATATGAGTTAGATAAAACACTTAAAACGAGAATTTATTAAAAAATGATCATTTTTAAAATATTGTTGTCATTGTTTTATTTTATTTTATAGATGCAATTAAAAAGTAATATATTCATGAAGTAATCTACAAAATTTTACTAAATGCAAAAAATAAGTAAATTTTCATTTTTTTTTTTTTGTATTTAGTAGTATTTTTCAGATTTCTTCACAAATATTTTAGTTTTAAGTATATCTAAATTAGGTACATCTTAATAATAAAATATAAAATTATTAAAATATGAAAAAACTTTACTAAAGATGAAAAAAAAAAACTCAAAAGTAATTTAAAAAATTAAACCAAATCAAGAATGAATTAGATTGTTCATCAAATTTTCAACAGTTATATTTGTACTTAAATTGATGTTGTTTTTTATATATATAAAAGTAGGTATTGGATATAGTTTTGTTTCATATGAAGTGGTAAAAAATGATTTTCGGGAATTTTTAAAAAATATTTCATGAAAAAAGTAAGTATTTAATAAGGCCTTGTAAAAAGTACTAAATACAAAAAAATATTTTATGTTTTTTCTTTTTCCAAAAATAGTCTCTCAAAGAGAGAGATTTCTATACTATTAGTCAGTCTCTTTTGCATTAGCTACCAATTATTTTATATTAAAATTGTGTCAAATTTTAGGTTAATTAATTGGTGACTTATGAAAGATAAACTAACAATGGCAATTGATCGAAATACCTATGAGGGTGTTTATCACGC